CTGTAGGGAACTATTCATCATATCTGCACATATATTTTATCATCCTCAGACCTTAAGCTAAGGGTCTCGAGTTTAAACTGCTTTCAATTTGCATTTACATATATTTTGTGTCTGAACAGAGCAAATGCGAAAACCATAAAGAGATTCTGACACTTAATTCAAGTAAGTTCTCGAGGAGCGTGAAGTCAAGATGTCCTGAATCTGCATTATGCACTCAACACTGTAAAATGTAAAAACAAATTCATTGCAGCAGTATCTTGAAACTTCATGTCACTCTGCACCAAAGCCTGAGCTGAAAGGAACACTAACTAGCTTTGGCTCTAATGTATTTTTGCAGAGAATTCAGTGTATCAGTGGCTGATATGCTGATTCATAGAACTGAGCACTTAGTAAAGAGGCTCCTCTGAGGAATCGCCAGATGTACTCTAACGCATTTTGCTCAAGCTGTTTCCATTCAGTAATGTTTGTCCGGAGCAACATGGGAACCACTGTGTCAAATATTAGTGTCTGCAATCCCAAGCAATCTCTAGGACAGAATATTTAAACAGTGGGAGGTTGTAGGCTGTGCAAGAGATGTTTAAGATGAAGTGCAATGCAGGAAAGCCCAAACCTTTTCCCACCTCATTCCTCACCTCCGCTCCTGCAGGTTTTCATCCCCAATGTTAAGCTGGACTTTAGCCATGTTCAGTCTAGGTGTGGGTCCTTGGACAGGCGGGGCTACTCAGCAGGAGGTGGAAATGTGAGTCTTGTGCCAAAAGTCCGTTGTTATGTTCATGTCAGTGTTATTCCTGTCTTTTGTTGTTGTGGGGTTTTTTTTTCTCAGTGTTACCTTTCCCCACCTTGCGTTACAGTTTTCTAGTTTACTGATAAGTCACTCACTCATAAGGGCAGCGGTGCTGGTACTCTTTACCGGACTGCTCGTCAACATGCCATTCCCAGTAGTGGTTTGTGTCCTATGAGGAATTTTGCTACAAAAGGCAGAATGTCTCCTCCTGCAGAGGATATTTTATTTATCTGTGTAGACCCAGATAAGGAGGTTTCTCATCCAAATGCTTCATCAGTTCTCTTTTGAATCAGTCATATACAAACGTTGGATATCATATTACACCACAAATGACTATTGCAGATCTAGTTACCTGGTAAATGGTCTTATACTTGTAGATACTTCAGTGTCTTACTCAAGGACACTTCCACATGTTGATTGGACAACCTGGGAATCGAACTGCTAATCTTCCAGTTAGAAGACAACCCACTCTACCTCCTGAGCCAGATACATAGTTTTATACATCTAAAATTAAGTTTCTGACAAATAAAGTAATCCTGACGTTGTCAGAATCCTAATATGGCAGTGGATAGTTCAAATCTTGAGGCTCACCTTATCTTGGTGGGCATGCACAGCATCATGGGTATGACAGGAGATGATGAATCCCATTTCTCCAAGCCTCTAAGTTGCCTGTTATTAGAACTGATAAGGTGCAACGTTACCAAGTGCAGCTAAAGAAAATTATATTCTTTTATAATATAGGCCTATGTTTGTTGTTAAATATGCACTTGACATACCTGGTTAGACCTCTCTCTTCCTGTTAGTGTGCAATAACAAAACTAGTACCAGATAGTTTTTAATCAATCATACAAAAACAACAGCTTATTAAATACATTCTCTATAAATATATGAATGTAACCATGACATGGATGGATATGATTGTTTGAGAGGCAAGCCAAACTGCAGCCTGATGTTCACCCTCGCTGACACAAACCACATCTCATCTCTGTCTTTAAACTCATGCTCTATATCTTTGTTAGTGTTATGCATGCGTAAGAGACTCCTAGTAGATGAACAGGTGCATTCTGAACTTTGTGCTCATGGTGTTGTGGTTTATAATGTGGCTGATGATCTTCATTGTTCACCATAGTCTCACTTTCGTGGTTTCCCCCTTCTCAGGTTGTGTAAGAGAGGAGAAGATAAAGAACATCAAATCACTGGTTATAAAAAGATGAACTAAATCAGTGACTTGGCAAAGTGATTGTGTGACCCAGTGATTCATCTCAGAATGTGGTGGACCTCTTCTTGTTCACTGTGCTGTGTCTAAAGCTTTATATAGCTCCACTCTGTTTGCTGTCTCATTGGTTCACTCCTTACATATCTCTCTGTGATTCCCTCCAGCTCTCCAGGGTGTGTCACATAGGTGCATATCCCTGACTCCTCTCTGCCTGTGGCCACTTTCAGCTGTGCTTTCTTTTTTACTCGCACTGAATTGTCACTGTTATGGTATATGGTGCTGTATATTTGGCCGGTTTTCTGAACAGTGCCAAACCAGTTCTAGCTCAAAACACAGTTACAGCTCTGACATAGCTTGCATTCAGTCTTGGTTCAGTTGGTTTAACAGACACCACAGAGCACAGCAACTGTTTATTACTAACTGGTATTCTGCTCTTCTGCTTTCTTGCTTGTGATTTCTATTAATGGCATGCAATTAGATGTAGTGGAATGTAGATAGGTGCAGCCTTACATCCTCAGTTTGATGTCTTTCATTGTCTTTAAATGGCAGCTACATTTGATTATGGATCAGGTGTGCTGTGCTCTTCTTTTCTGGCAGCCTCATTGTTAACGGTGAGTTCTGACCTGGTCTTTTCCTGACTTTGCTTCTTTCAGGTGCAGATACAGAACAAGAAGATCAACTTGAGTCATGTGACTTCCAAGTGCGGCTCACTGGACAACATCCATCATCGGCCAGGTAACCTTCTACCTGCACTCGATCAGGGGAAACTGAGGGGCAACACTGCAGGTTCCAGAAGTGTGCTTGTGCCTGGAAGGTCACCAGTGTTAAGTCCTAACCTTGCACTATGCATTTATGTGGGGAATGTCAAGCACTGTTCAGCACTGCTTAAATGTACTCAAGCGAATTTCTTCTCTTTTATAAGCTGTTATGTTCAGACTGTGGTTATAGTGGGCAGCTACTATCGCAGCATACAATGAGCTGGGCTGGTCTGCTGTGAATGCTTGGTAAGAAGCACATTAGGATGGTCCACAGCCAGAGGCTTGCAAGTAGTATGAAGGGCACTTAAATGAACTGTGACTCGCAAGGGAACAGGACATTGCAGCTTGGTAACCAATCACATTTGACATCTGTCTGGTAGCATAACATTAGATGCTACTCAAGCACCCAGTTTACACCTAGCATTAGCATGTGGGTATCATATCTAGGTAAAAAAAGAAATTGTTAGTGCAAGGTAAATTTCAGGCAGAATAGAATGCTTATTGTAAAATGGAAAGCCTCGTGGATCAGACGTCATTATCTAGATACAGATGACATTTTAATACCAGGTGTAAATAGGACCAAGAAATCCCACAGATTAGGTCTCTAAGACTTGTTTATGAGGATATGTCAGACACAACTAAGCCATGAAATTGTATGAACTGTGGCTAAGTGTGCTCTTAATCTGTCTAAATACTAAAAGCATTTTGCAGTTTAAAATGAGCTCCTGAAATAAAAGTCCAATCACTGAAGCTCCATCACTGATTTGGACCATGACCAGCAGAAAAAGCAATAAATTGCATTTGGATTGACAGCTCAGTGATTCTATACACAAGCGGCTGAATGTGGGAGGTGTTGTGGTTCCTAGCAGCGTCTGTGTGCCTCCATCCTGTGTGTGTGAATTTGGAGCGGGACGTTGATGAACAGGACTGGGTAAAACCTGGAGAGAGTTATATGTCCATTTACTATTGTTCATTCAAATCACTGACTACGAAAGGATCACACACGTTGTCGATGACTTGTTTCAGCTCTCAGATGTTCATTAAGAAAGGAAGGTCTGAGAACAGTGTTTTCTCAGTCAGAGTTTATGATTCATTGTGCCTAATACTTTCTGAATTGTAAGAACTTTGTAGTACCAAACATTAACAGTGTTGCTGCCCAGTACCGCTCACAGCCAAAGGAAGCATGCTTGTTCTGGGTGGGTATAACTGTGGTCAGGGGTTAAAAGTAGGCCAAAAAAAGATACAGCCCACAGTCGGTTCAGATGATTTCTCTTGAAAATAGAAACAGTGCTGTTGGGAAGTGGCTTTTGAGTTTTTTTAAGCTTCTATTGTGTTGGGCTTATGGTAAGGCAGCATCACAATAGTTAGCTCAAAGTTCAGTGCACACACATTAAAATGAACTAGTTCATGCAGGGGCGCTGCTAGCAGTTTTGGGCCCTATGAAAAAATTTGAAGTTGGGCCCTCTACCCACAGACTGTGGGCCCCCAAAGTTTGTGGGCCCTTAGAATCGTCCTAACTCCCCCCCCCAACGGCGCCCGTGAGTTCATGTTCAGTGTGTTTGTTTTAAGTCTTGTGCAGCCCGAGTGGGTGGTGTGCTGCTCCGTGTTAACAGGATACAATGATGCTGACATGGGGATGTGATGTTCTAGCAAAGCACAAAACAAGTGATCTAAAACTCTAGAGCAGAAACTTGGAGAGGGAGTTTAGTTTCAGCACTCTGGTGTTACAGTCATTCTCCATAGTGAACCACACCTTTGTCGTTTACGTTCATCGCCCTGTACGTTAACAAAACTCAATTTCATGTTACTTAGCTGCAACCTGATCCGTTCAGTTCATCATTCATAGGCTTTGAAACCAACAACTAGATAATCAGAAGATATACGATGTTTTTTTTTTATATTGGTGAGCTATCCATTTAAGTCATTATTGCTAGATGCAGTAAAATTACTGTTGACCAAAAATACATGCAGACCTACTGTATAGTTAACAGGTACAGTATACATTAAGAACTGAAGGACGGTTGGTGCATCTCAGACAGGTCTTCAGTGTGAAGCATTACAGAGGTTGTGGTGACTGCTTCAGGTCCTACAGCTCCATCTGCTGGCCCCTTTGTGTCCGTGTCATCATTTTATAACATTTATTCATCGAGGGCTCACTGAACACACATACAGCATTACACATTCTCTTTCCCCATGAAATCTCTGTCAACAGACCAGGATTTTGTATAATCAAACTTTCCAACCACTCTGCTTTCACCAGTCAGCTGCTATGTGAATCAGAGTAGATCATCTCATGTCTCATTTCTGTGTGTACAGTTTTTACAGTCACTCTACTTCTTCCCAGGGGGCGGTAACGTGCGTATAGAGAGTGTGAAGTTGGACTTCAAAGACAAAGCCCAAGCCAAGGTGGGTTCCCTGGATAATGCGCACCACATTCCTGGTGGAAGCAACATCACGGTGAGTGTCGGCTGCATGCTTCCAATCCCTGACTGAAAGGAAGGCAGTCTGCACAGTAATTAGCATCTTCTATACAAGAAATGGTTTGCAGACTTTCCATTTGCCTTAATTTGTCAGTTTACCTTTAAAGTGAAAAAAGCAAACAGAAAAATAGCACATCTTTGAATATTCATATAATGTCTTCAAAGCCATGTCGTCTAGCCATAGTTTAACTTAGACTAAAATACTGTATGTAATGTGTAAATCTAAGGCTAGCCAGCTAGCCAGTCTATTTACCTGTGAGGGTACAGGTGTGGTGTTCCTATCAAGTACTCAGTTATGTTCTGATGTGCTCTGACACAGGACTAAGAGCTGCAGCCTTTCAGTAGTCCATCCATCCATCATCTATACCAGTTATCCTGTAGAGGGTGGGGGGGGGCAGGAGCCAATCCCAGCCAGTGCTGGGTGAGAGGCAGGGCACACCCTGGACCTATCACAGGGCTGACAAATAGACACATTCACAACTATGGCCAATTTAGAGTCACCATCCAGCCTAACCTGCATGTCTTTGGACTGTGGAAGGAATCCAGAACACCTGGAGAAAACTCACACAGGCACAGGGAGAACATGCAAAGTCCATATAGAAAGGCCCCGGGGGCCATAGGGTTCAAACCCAGTGAGGCAGCAACCAATGCACCACCGTGTCACCTCCTTAAGTAAAGTCTCGAAAACAGATCTTTATTGGACACGATATGAAAATGATGTGTTTCTTTCTCCTCACCCTCTTCTCCCATCACACCACCTGTATTTGATAGATTGAGAGCCATAGGCTGACATTTCGCGACCACGCCAAGGCCCGAGTGGACCACGGAGCTGACATCGTTATCCAGTCACCAGGCCTGTCCGGCTCTGTGTCTCCCCACCAACATCGGGGCAGCCACCTCTCCTCCTCCGGCAGTCTCAACATTATGGATTCACCGCAATTAGCAACCCTGGCTGAGGATGTCACTGCCGCTCTGGCTAAACAGGGTTTGTAAACACTGGATCTATGATTTGTCCTCTGCACCCCACATATCCTCTTCCCTGCCCCCCCACCCCTAAACTTTTCTGCTCACTCCTGGCACCCTGAGGCCAACCTCAGCAAAACCACAATCTCTGAACATCTCCACTCTCAACTTCAAGTAGAGACACAAGCTAATGTACTTTGATCCTATTTATTTCCTGTCTATTTTAAACCCAGATGTGTGTTATTTCTGATTCATTTTGTTGGCCTCTCTCTCTCTTTGAATGATGGTGCATAGAAAATAATTCAGTCTGAGCACAGGTCCCAGATAAAATTAACTACGTAACAACCAAGAATTGGCTTGACTCACCCTTGATCAGTGTTTAGAGGAAGCTGCCGTCTTTTTTTCTACATTAAATAAGAAGTAATATGGCCAGCACACCATGCAGCACGTGTTGTTCTTGCTCAGTAAATATGCATGGATGCCAAACCCCCCTAACAAACCAAGCATCTTTATTGCAAGTCACTCTTATCATCCAATATATTATATATTAAACAAATATATATATATATGAACATGTATAAAAATACAGGTTCTTTAACAACTCCATGTCCTTAAAACATTTTAAAAGGAAGTTACAATATGGCTATAAAATATATCTGTAAAATTGCATTATTGCAGGAACTAGGTCATGTAGACAAGCATGTCTTGATCCAAATTTAAAAGAGGCTATTTTGTAATTTAAAAAAATGATTTTAGTAACTTATTTCCTCATTTATTGGATAACGATTAAATAAGTTCATGTTTTGTAGTTATTAGTTGTTTACAGTGTTATGCTTGGTGACAGTGTCAGACAGCTGGTTTGGTCCTGTTGAAGAGAATCCTACACTTGTACTTTTGCAGTAGTTCAAACACTGGAGTTTATCCTACAAACATCCACCTGAAAAAGGAGACAGCTACAGTTGTATTGTCTTTACAGCTGCAGAATGAACAGTACAGACGTGTCTCTGCTGACACAGGCTGATGTTGCAGTCCTCACAGCTGTCTGTTGTCTGAAC